CTTCAGGGGGAGGCATGGGAAAAACTTGGGAGCCCGTGGCAGGTTTCTGGTGATGGGTAGAGAGTCTCGTACGCTACGTTTGGAGGAAATTACCAGTACCTTTTGAATTCCCCCAATCTTATATGATTCGCATCGAGCCACAGATTGGAAATGTTTAAAATTATTATTTTTTCATTTATTTTTCATTTGGGTTTTCATTTGTAACTTCATTTTTTTTCATTTTGTTTTTCAATCATTTTTTTGTTTTCATTTATTTTTCATTTTTTCATTTTTTTTTCGTTTGTTGTTTCTCCAAACTTCATTTTTTTCATTTCAAACATCATTTTTTTTTCATTTCAAACTTCATTTTTTTTCATTTTAAACTTCATTTTTTAATCATTTTTTTTTCATTTTCCTTTCCCGTGGCACCTGAAATCCAGGAAAACCATGAAAAACAATGAAAAACAATGGAAAACCATCAAAAACACAGGAAAATGACAAAAAAATGAAGTTGCAAATGAAAAAAAATGAAAATTTGGACTCAAAGTTGCAGATTCTCACTCCGAACCAGGAAATCTTCAAAAACTCGAGGAAATTTTCATTTTTTTTTCATTTTTTTTCATTTTATTTTCATTTTTTTTCATTTTTTTTTCATTTTCCTTTCCCGTGGCACCTGAAATCCAGGAAAACCATGAAAAACAATGAAAAACAATGGAAAACCATCAAAAACAAAGGAAAATGACAAAAAAATGAAGTTGCAAATGAAAAAAAAATGAAAATTTGGACTCAAAGTTGCAGATTCTCACTCCGAACCAGGAAATCTTCAAAAACGAGGAAATTTTCATTTTTTTTCATGTTTTTTTCATTTTCCTTTCCCGTGGCACCTGAAATCCAGGAAAACCATGAAAAACAATGAAAAACAATGAAAAACCATCAAAAATCAAAAACAAAGGAAAATGAAAAAAAAATGAAGTTGCAAATGAAAAAACAATGAAAATTTGGACTCAAAGTTGCAGATTCTCACTCCGAACCAGGAAATCTTCAAAAACTCGAGGAAATTTTCTTTTTTTTTTCATTTGTTTTCATTTTTTTCATTTTTTTTTCATTTTCCTTTCCCGTGGCACCTGAAATCCAGGAAAACCATGAAAAACAATGAAAAACCATCAAAAACAAAGGAAATGAAAAAAAAATGAAGTTGCAAATGAAAAAAATGAAGTTTGATGGCAAAAGGTGATGAACAAAAATGCAAAAAAATGAAGATAAAATGAAAAAAAACGATAATGGAAATGATAATGAAAATGAAAATGGAAATGAAAATGAAAATGAAAAAAATGAAAAATAATAATTTTTGATGGTCTCAGACTGTAGCAGTAAGAATCTTATAACCCCAATCTGTTTGTCTGTTTCACAATCTTGAAGGAAATACCCCTGCTCTTAGCCTTCGTTCAACGAATCTGAAAAGCAAAAAAACATTAAAAACAACAAGATGAAACCCACGAACCCGAATGCTCACACGTATGTGGAAGATAACGATGTTAAAGTATCGATTATGCACATAAGATCACATAAGATTAAAGTGTTAATGCTCACATCTATTGTAGAACAGTGGAACAACGTCATTGCTCCGATTCTATTTTCTCTCCGCGACAGCATCACTAGCGTCGCAACGCAGCGGCGCGCTGCAATCATCGCCTTCCAAGACATGCAAGCCAGGCGATGCGAATATATCACACGTGAAACATCTTTTATTATATATACATAAGGAATAATCACATGTTGAGAGTCACATGCGGCGAAACAACAAGATAAAATGTAAGGATCAGCAAACCAGAAAGCATCGGGGACACGTTGAAACATTCAAGTTGGTGGGGGACATCGCCGCCTGACGTTAACCACTGGAGCAACAGAACTTCCTACAGTGGCACCGAGAAAAGCCACTTGACGCAGCCCTGCCAATGCGATTTGCAAAAAACTCTCTGCACGACACGTCTAAAGTGCTGCGCCTGCCACGAAAAATGACGATGGTCACGTCCAAAGTCCTGCCACGAAAACTGCCACGCATCTTCTGAAAACGTCGCAAAAGTATTGCGCGTGCCACACAAAACGACTTTCGACACGTTACAAAGCACGTCTGAATGTCCCCAAGTGCCACGCCTGCCACGCGAAACGAAGCAACGAAACGTTGGAAACCTCCAAAGATGACCAGACTCTGCAGAACTTACCATAGGCACGGCCATACGGGGATCGCACGAACGGTTGCGGACGGTTGCGACCGTGAACGCAACGTCGAGCGAGCAAACCCTCAACCCCTGCAGACCCGCAGAGTGAAACGGGAACCCTTGCTACGCATTCGGGAAAAAGAGAGGTTTTGCAAATGGTTTTGCAGCTTCCCCCAGAGACACGGCGAGGCCACAGGAAAACCAGAGACTCGAGACGAGACACGTGGGAGCATCAAAAGAAGCATTTCGTGCGAGATTTCCTCCAATTTTCACACTTTGTAGCTTTTCAAAATCGACGTTTTCCTACGAGTTTTTGTAGGAGCCTCTACTAAATTTTGCAACCTCAAAATCGAAGTTTCGTGCGAGGCTTCCGTCAATTTTCGGCACATGTCACAAAATGCCACGCCTGCCACGGAATTTGCACCTTGTCGCCACTTGACGCAGCCCTGCCAATGCGATTTGCAAAAAACACACTACACGACACGTCTAAAGTGCTGCGCCTGCCACGAAAAATGACAATGGTCACGTCCAAAGTGCTGCGCCTGCCACAAAAACTGCCACGCATCTTCGGAAAACGTCGCAAAAATATTGCGCCTGCCACACAAAACGACTTTCGACACGTTACAAAACACGTCTGAATGTCACGAAGTGCCACGCCTGCCACGCGAAACGAAGCAACGAAACGTTGGAAACCTCCAAAAATGACCACCTCTGCAGAACTTACCATAGGCACGGCCATACGGGGATCGCACGAACGGTTGCGGACGGTTGCGACCGTGAACGCAACGTCGAGCGAGAAAACCCTCAACCCCCACACCCCCAGAGTGAAACGGGAACCCTTGCTACGCATTCGGGAATAAACAAGCATAACATCAGAGAAACACTTGCCACGCTTGGACATGTAGTGCCACTTTACATGCATCAGCTTTGCGATGGAATGCATGTGCTTAGACATGCTTATATACACTACCGTAGACTGGTTCATGGGAAGCTTGTGGACCTGAGAGCTTGATCCCGCAAATCGTGTCTACGTTGGTCAATGTGTTGCCTTCGCTTGTCTTCCTAGTCTCTCTTTGTCCACTATGAGCATCTATGAGCTGCATAGATTCATAGATCTGCATATAGTCTGTGGAATTCTGATGTATTGTCTGGAGAATCGAATGTGAGGAGCTACTGTATGAGGAGCTGTGAGGAGACCTGGTTTCGCCATGTTTCGCCCAAGCGGACCTCCATAGCCATAGCTCTCAGCTCGTGGCGGTGTCCATGCTCAGCCTGCCCAGCAACGCAACATGGCGGGGATGCACTTCCCTGCTTGGACAAATCGCATCAAATCGCAACTATACAAGTCGAGTCTGCAAGCATCCACAATAGTCGCAATAGTAAAAGAGCTGAACCAAGGCAACATTTGACAGACCCAGTTATGTTCAACTTTATCATTCAATTAAAGTGAAAGTTGGAAATTTGAAACTGGGATAGCAATTCGGCCGTTTGCGTCAGTTCCGGCGAGGATCGGCGAGGCATATGAGGCATTTCCATGAAATCTTCCAACCATTTCCAACCCAAGACCGGAAGAGCGGAAGGATTTGGCCAGGCCGAGTTGCCGTGGTTGAGAACTCGATCCTACTGGTATAACTTGTTCAAACACGTACTGCGAGTGCTGGGAACTGAGCATGGTATATGCGGGGTATTGGATGATTTTATATGTTTTTTTTAAGGCACACATAAATGATACAATACATGATATATATATATAATATATATATCGATAACATAGACCCGGGCAAGCCGGCGGCGGAAGTTTCCCAAACATAAATGACCTATAGTTCAAAGACACCCTGTCCCGACCGTGTCCTTCCCTCGACACTCCACACCTCACACTGCACACTGCACTCTTCGCACTCCAAACTTCAAACTTCACACTCCACACTTCACACTCCACACTTCTCACTTCTCACTGCTTCCTTCACACTCCAAACCTCACACTTCACACTTCACACTTCACACTGCTTCCTTCACACTTCACAGTCCACACTTCACACTTCACACTTCACAGTCCACACTTCACACTTCACACTTCACAGTCCACACTTCACACTTCGTACTTCACAGTCCACACTTCACACTTCACAGTCCACACTTCTCACTTCGAATTTCACACTTCACACTCCACATTTCACACTTCTCACTGCTTCCTTCACACTCCAAACTTCACACTTCACACTTCACACTTCTCACTTCGCACTTCACACTCCACACTTCTCACTTCTCACTGCTTCCTTCACACTCCTAACTTCACACTTCTCACTTCACACTCCACACTTCACACTCCACACTTCACACTTCTCACTTCTCACTGCTTCCTTCCCACTCCAAACTTCACACTCCAAAACTCACACTTCACACTTCTCACTTGGCACTTCGCACTCCACACTTCACTCACACTTCACACTTCACAGTCCACACTTCACACTTCTCACTGCTTCCTTCACACTCCAAACCTCACACTTCACACTTCACACTTCACGCTGCGCTCTTCGCACTCCACACTTCCCAGTCCACACTTCACACTTCTCACTTCACACTTCTCACTTCTCACTGCTTCCTTCACACTCCAAAATTCACACTTCTCACTTCGCACTTCACACTCCACACTTCACAGTCCACACTTCACACTTCTCACTTCTCACTGCTTCCTTCCCACTCCAAACTTCACACTCCAAACTTCACACTTCACACTTCTCACTTCGCACTTCCACATCCACAACTTCACTCCACACTTACACTTCACCCAGTCCACAATTC